CTGAGAAGGCCGGGGGGCTTTCTATAGTGATCTAAGAACCCTTGAAGAGCCCGGGCGTGTCCGCGACCCCAACCGAGCGCGGTAGGTGCTTAACTCCTCGTGTCCAAAATCTCTCTTTGTTGGTTCCTATATGTACATTGTGCACGCGTCGCACACGGACGCACGGTTTTCCGAGAGAGCGACCTCTTGTCGGATCCACACCGGGTCCCATGCCGAGCCGAGATCGAGGCCCGTTCAGTTTTAGTAGAAATCTATAATTTCTCGAAATTTACTCATAGTTTGAATTCATTCAGTGAGTGCTAGGACAAATACATTAATATGAATAAATAATTGGAGGTCTTTTACCACACATACCTGTTTCTTGTCGATGAGCAAATGTACATTCAACTAGCTCATGCTTCTCAATGATTGGTTGCGATGTCTAGTTGTGAAGCATATGTATACATTTGAGGTCACCATCAACATATACATTACATCTCCATCATATCTTAAATAAGCTCAATCCATATTTGGTTGGTCCTTTTCTTGATACATAATTCTTAGACTTCTTAGGTTAGAGCTCAGTATAAACCCTAGATGAGCTTTTAGTTCCTACAGTGAGTTGGCCCCATTATATAGTGTGGCTTTTAAGCTCCCCTCGTTGTAATAGATCCGTCCGTCATTTTGGTTATGCTCAAAATAGCCACCATGACGAAATAACAATCTCACTCCACTCGTGGCCACGACTCAATTTGGGATACCTATTGCTAGAGGACCCAGACAGATGAATACATAGTGGTGACGGAGTAAAACATCATCGAGGTCCACATAATTAATAAATGAGACACGTCCTCAAGGTCATTAGAATGTAAACCAGAATTCAAGAGCAAGAAATATACTTGGGAAGAGATATACACAACGAATAAACATACATCATGTTAGATATTCATCGAGGAAAAAAAAAATTAATTAGGTTCATTACCAAGTACAAGAGATTTCTTGCTTCAATTTGTAAATTTCCCTTTAGTCATCAACACATACAATCATTTCAGAGTGCAAATATCAATGTTTCAAAAAGCGTTGGGCGATCGTGGGGGTTCAGGCTGCGTCCAAAACTTGGGTGACCCAGTAGGAAGAAAAAAGTTAGAATTTTGATATTCTAACCATAAATTAGGAGAATTTTGATATTCTAACCACAAATATTAGAATTTTGATATTCTATCCATAATCCATATTTGATATTTCCATGAATGAGGAGAATTTTGATGGTCCATAAGACCATAATCCATATTTTCATACAATGCTAAAACAATAAAACCATACAAGCATACTCTGATAATCTGCTACACACAAAAGTTAGATAGTAGAAAACTAGAAACTAGAAACTAGAAACTAAAACTGAGAAAAAGAAAGTATACAGAAATTCAGAAAATATACAGTCTAGGACACAATAGTCACTCAACACTCAATAGTCAACACCAATAGTCAAGCGTCTTCAACTCTTCATTCTTCGGTCATCATCATCATCAGAAGGATTAGGGTAAGCCTCGTCATATGCATTAGATTCGAGGTCATCATCATCAGAGTCATCTCCCTCTTCAACATAACGCTCGTCCTCCTCTGTTTCTTCTGAATCTACCTATTCCTCTTCTTCTACCTCCCTCTTACGCTGTGCAGATGCCCTAGGAGTCTTGGCTGCTCTACCCTTTTCAATCTTTTTGTGCTTCCCTTAACATCAGGAACATTTTTACACGGGGCAACATCCCCCTTAATATTGGCAAGGTGTTTTTGAACCGGTAAATACCCTCATTAGTATCCTTTCCACAATAATTACATTTAATACGATTTTTATCATTCAGATTCAGGTTATGACCATACTTCCAACATGGATCACCACTTCTAAAAGAACTTGGAGAAGATATTTCCATAAAACAAGGCTCATTTTCATCCTTTTCTTGTTCTACTAAATTCATAAATTGTCGAATCTCATCCCGAATAGCTTCAAGAACCTTTTTACAAGAAGCAACATTCCCTTTAATACCGACAAGGTGTTTCTTGAATCGGTTAATACCCCTATTAGTATCTTTTTCACAAAAATTACACCTTATACAATTTGTATCATGTGGTTTTGGGTTATGACCATACTTCCAACCCAAATCACTTCTTCTAGCCGAACCAGAAATAGACCTATTCAAATGACAAAGATTTTGTTCCTGTTTGTGTTTTACAGAACTGATATATTGGTTAATCTTCTCTCTACTAGCTTCAGGAACATTTTTATAAGGGGCAACATTCCCCTTAATACCGACAAGATGTTTCTTAAACAGGTTTATGCCCCTTTTTGTATCTTTTTCACAATAATTTCATCTTATACATTTTTTGCCATTCAGATTCGGGTTATATCCCGGATCGTCACTTCGACTAAATCTTGACGAAGATATCTCAAAATTTAGCAAGCAATTTAAACAATAAATTTTTGCACTTACTTTGATTGCTCAAATGCCAAAATTCCACTTTTGACTTGTTTTCTGGTACTAAAATATTAAAAAACAACCTCTAATAGGATTACAAAAACTCCAAAACTAAATCTAATCTTGATTGGTGATGTTTGGATCCATTTCCTGTAACTTTGAGAAACACTTCAATCCAATAAAAATCACAAAATCTAGTTTTTTTGAGGTTTTTCTCTCTCTAAAATGGGTTCTTATGGGTTTAGGTTTCAAATGAACCTAACATCCACCATCAAAAGCTTTTTCTTTGTTTTTCAAAAAAACCCCAATCAAACCCTTACAAAAAAGTCATTTCCGCCCTTAGGGGGTGCAGGCCCTGGGCAGGTGCCGTACCTCCTAAACCGCCTAGGCGCAGGGCGGTCTGCTTTTGAAACACTGGCAAATATGCATGCTAGCCTAGGGATTGACTATGAGCCAGTTAGTCAATGTATCTGTGCAAGGGGTATATATATTAAGAGCATGATTTCTAAATTCTGAACATAAATTTTACATGATATTTATAATTTTAGCATATTTCGTGAATTTTTATTTATTTTTTAACATTCTTAGATAATACTTTCTATCAAATTATCATATGCAAAAAAGCATTGATCCATTATGTCCGATTCTCACTTAATAATTTAACTCTAGTAGTCCACAAAGCATTATTAATTAATTGATAAATATTATAATTAAATAGCATTTACTTTATTTTACTTCTATGGTAACAATTATGTATAGGGTGCGGTTTGAACAATGTTACAACTTTATTTCTACATAAGGTTGCAATACTCTACACTGTCCATTTTATTTGGATGGTGTAGATTTGACACATCTTTTAAATCAATATATTGCACATCTTTTACGATAGTGTCCAATATACGCCATTCAAATAAAATGGATGAAATATATATTTTATTAAGTGAGGTTTTAGGATCCAAATATTAGGTTTCTTGGCCTCAAGATCCCAATCCACCATTACTCGTTTTTTCCCCAAAGTAATACCCAACCATTCAACATTTGCGTCAATTTGTTGACGATTGATAAGGCTATCAAAGCCCTAGAGAGATTGATTTAAAAGGTTCAAATATGATGGGAAACTCCATCAAAAAAATACAAAACAATGAAACAAATAAGAAGAAAAAATACCTACTTGATTGAATGGGATCCAGATGGCCAGGTAGTTGTGGATGTGAGACCTTCTGACGACCATTCCATAGAGAGAGAGCTCCAGGTTGAGAGAGAGAGAGGATAGAGAGAGACACCGTGAAGAAATAATGGGAAGAAAAGCCAGGCGGGCACCATTTTGGGGCCTTCAATCAACTTTCCGGTATCCCGAATATCGGACTACTACATATCTATCTGGTATTTAAAATATCAGACACCCCAAGCAAGCTGAAAAATGCCCGAAAGGTAGGGCTCTTTGCTTCTGAAAACACCGGACAAAGGGGAAGCACAAATGTATTGCGGGGTTCCCCTCATGTTCGGTGTTGTCATTGCCAGACATATGGGCAACTCCGGAAAAAATAAAAAGGCTCCCTATGTTTTTTTTTTGGTGTGGGGTGCGGGGGGGAGTTGCTTGTCGAATTTTTTCCACAAACATACCCGTATGGTAATAAAGGGGGGGAAACAGTTTTCCAAAAACATACCCATATAGTAATAAAGGGGGGAAGTAGTGTCCATACATAATGTTCTCATGTTTTTAATTTCTCTTTTTTATATAAGCTGTAAGAAAATGGGGTTGTCCTACTTCTTGAGCAGCCAAGGAGTGCGTAATGTTTATTGTTTTCATGTATGCTTAAAGAGCTACTTAAACCTGATGGTCCTTTTCATGCACACTTACTTGCATGAATGTTTTTATTTTTTATTTGAGATTTTGTTAGTACTCTCTTTAGACTTGGGACTTGGGTGAGTCTGCTGATTCAATTGTAGACTTTTGCCAAGTTTTACACTGACTTGGCCAATTCTTAATGTAACGGATCTTTTTTTTCCGGCTTGGATGAGTCAAAGCTGATCCAACAAGTTGTGGTTAGGATTTTGTGTGTGTGTGTGTGTGTGGCAGTGTTTGCTTTAGGGTAAACTGACTCCTATTGCCCGTGTTACAAAGGTACAGAGAGCTTCTATTTTCCATGGATTTTCTATTGTCTTTCCATAATAATTTTGTAATAAACTTTGAAAAGACCAACTTGTTACCCCTTAGGGAAGCAGTTTTATGGTGTTGCTACTTCCTAGGGTCACAGGGCCTTGCAAATTGCACAACATAGTTTGATGATACTTAAATCAAATATTGGTGAAGAGTGTTTCTCAACTTTAGTTTTCTGTACCTGGCCTTGTTTATTGATTCTGTAAAACTAATAGTGTGATTCAGATGAACGTTGAGGAAGGGGTTGATATTTGCCCTTTTTATGATGCTTTAAATGTCAAATGTGAGCATGATTGTGAATTTCTGAATATGGCAATTCCTCGTCTCCTTGCCTGAATGCTGGTCAATGGTCCAATTAAATTTGTTCTCATGATGTAGTTGCTTTTCAGGAAATGGAATTAAATGAAAAGCATTTGATATGTGAGATGGAGAAGGCACAAGCTACATGGGATTCTCGGCAAAATGGTGAATCTTCAAATGATTCTGCAAACATGGATGAAAGTCCTCAGGATGGATCAAACCCCGTCGGAACTCTAAAATCTGAATTGGAGAACAAGAAGCAAGAGCTGGTTATTCTCTTGTCCAATCAAAATCGCAACTTTAGCTTGTTATTGGCATTGATTTTGCTTTTCTTTTTTTCTAATGGGTACATATATTCGCATTGATGTTTAAAGAGGCTAATGGAAGAGAAGGTTAGAAATCTAGAAACTGAGTGGGCTCAACTTCAACATAGTTCTGTGCGGCAGCCTACCCCAGGTATGCATTGTCTGGCACCTTTTATGCCAATTCTTTCCTATGCATGTATGGATATGTACTTTTTTTTGGCATTTGTATATGAATGTAGGCATCCCTCGGCATGCTTAGAAGCATGCAAGTATGTGCTTGAGTTCACATGCATGTATCGTGAAACATTTTATAACAGGTGATTTTATGCATGATTCTGTATTCTTCAAGTTTCACCTAAGAAAGCATATGTAGTTCTACCAATTTTTCCTTAAATGGCTTTTCATTATGTGAGGTAGAATAAGTGCATAATTTTTTAGGAAGAGTGATGCTTCCAACTCTGCTTGATGATTTCCCTTCGTTTTGAGTGAAGCGCAACGAGAGAAGATCTTGGAGAAGCAGCTTCAAAGCCTGACAGAGCAACTTGCAGCAAAGCAAGTAAGTTTGCTACCTAGACCTTGTGACTTATGCTTTTGAATGCTCTGTTTTCTCTTTCAATCGTTTGATCTTTCTATATCTAGCTATGTATATGTGTGTGTAACAGAGAGAGAGAGAGATTTGATGGATGATGAGTTTTGTTTAAACCGAAAACCTCAATTTTTCAAAAGACTTTTCAGAATGAGGGAAGATGTTTCAATAGAAAAGATGTTTCTCACTCTGTTAATTTAAATTTGTTGCAGGCGCAAGCCGAATTGTTGGTTACTGAAATACACAAAAAAGAAATCGAGTTGGAAAATTTGATCGGAATGAAGAAGCGGCTTGAGATTGGGGGTGGTGAAGCACATGGTGCAAGGAATAGGGTGGTGAAGCCAGGGTCATCTGTTACTATCGATTCTGTTTATGGTGACCACAGCTCAGTGGACATGAATCATAAATCAGTTAGGGTTTCAGGGGACAACATCGGCAGATCCATGCGCTCGGGAGGAATGGGACCACTTAGATTCGGAAACCAGGAGAAGCTTATTTTGTTACGCTTTGTCTTTGTGCTGTACATTTTAGCCCTTCATTTCATTGTCTTCATTAAGATCTCATTCCTATAAGCCCAAGAACTTTGTTTACATGTAAAACCTTGACGCGGTAATAAGACTGTTTTTCCATTTGTGGCATTTTTTTTTAATGTTTTTAATATTATTTTGGACATGTAAAATATTCAATTGTTACCTCGAAAGCAAGTAATAAATTTCTAGTAATTTCATGGAAATAGTGGCCACATCATTTTGAAAATTTTTATGGTTAAATATGTTGATATATCAAAATCAAAGAAATAAAATGTATTCTACATGTTCTTTTTATTTTCTGGATGATAAAAGCCAGGGAATTGGAGACTGACTCGGGTACCTGATAGGTTCGGCAATGCTGGTTTAAAGAAAGAAAATCATGAAAATAGCCTAATAAAGTTATAGGAGTTTGTGAATGGATGGCATATCCTTAATTTTGGGCCCATGCTGTGGCTCCTTTGCTCGGCCTAGGGCTAGTAATGGGTTAGGCCACCCTATGCCTAGTCTGCATAGGGCCAGCTCAAGCTTGGCTTACTACCCATGACTAGGCTAAAGAGGCTCTGGCCAGTCCCCTGCATTAGCTATATCGGGCCCAATGGGTTGGGCCGGGTTAAATAAAATCAAAAAATTAAAACAAAAGATAGAAAAATAAGGCTGGGCTGGCCCTGGCTTAGGCCCAACTCTGTCTTGCCCTCAAGCACCTGGCACTCAGACATATGTGGTCCAAGCCTTGGTCTTTTAGAAATAGGCTGAACGGGCCGGGCTGGTACATCCGGTCAATTGCCACCCTTAGCTTGGCTCAATAATGGTTTATTGGATAGAGAATTCATAGCTCCTCTTGAGAAAGCTCAGATGATATAAATAAAATAAGAAAAATTGTTTCATGCGGGTTGGACTGCATTTTTAGATATGCGATCCAAAAAATATAAAGTTTTCATCTTAACGATGGATGCAATTAAGTGTTCCATCTAAAAACAATATAAATTAATAGTCCAAATGTTTTTTTATTAAAATTAGTATTTTTAATTTTAATTTTTTGTATTTGTTTATGTTCATGATCACCATGTTCGAGATTAGGTGTCCTTAAAATTTAAGTAAAAAAATTGGTCTAAAAAATAAATTTACTAATAATCCCGCATTTCTACATGTACGGGCTTGGTCGCATAGAACCTGGATCCATAGAATAACAGACAAACTTTTGCGTGGTGTGATCGTATGGCCTCCAAGCTTCATCCCAGCCACCACCAATCACATTACATCATTATTTTCATCCTCTCTCTCTATACATCATTATTTTTTTATTTCTCTCTCTACAGTACACTGCGTGTAGTACAACACAATCCTCATCCCTCCCAGGCTCCCGCCATACATTACAGTAGTGGTGGTGGTGGTGGTGGTGGGTGAGTCAGGTGCCGCCGCAACCCATGGCCGCTAATTTGGGCGGCCTGCCAGGCCTTGGATGCGCAGCGACGCTGTCTAAGACACTATCACACAAGGCTCCTCCAACATCGAGCGTTGTTGCCCAAACCAAACGCATTAAGCCCAAAATGATCCCCGCATTGGCAGGTGCTCTCTCCTTCTTCACTCCATCTGCTTATGCCCTCCCCAAGGACCAGATCCTCACCACCCTCACCAAGGTTTGTTGCACTTCTCTCTCTCTCTCTCTCTCTCTCTCTCTCTCTCTCTCTCAGGTTCAATTCAATTTGTCTCTCCTCTCCAAATGGAAAAACCCCTTCAAGCCTCTCTCTGCAATGCTTGTGTTGGGTTTTGTAGGTGGAGAGTGCGGTGGAGGGGGCACAAGAGGCAGCTGTGGGCGCGGTGGACGCATTGGGAAGGGTGGTGGAGGCAACAAAGCCTAGTGTGGTTGCTGCTGCCCCTCTCGTCCAAAAGGCTGCGGACCAGGCAGGCCGCATCCTCGGACCTGCAGGCTCTGCCCTGTCCAAGCAGGCCGAGGACGCCCTGCGAGCCCTCGGTTTCGACCCCCAACCTGCGGTCACCACAGCCAAGGTATTTTGTGTATCCATGGTAAATTGTCTAATCTGTCATCGATTTGGGGGTTGTCGAATTTTAGTCTTCTGAATTCCAGTGGTTTTCTAGATACCTTTTCATCATGCCTCACAATGAGAATTCATTGACTTCATTGGTGAACAGAAGATCGGTTTACTGATTTCTTTGTTTTCTTTGAGTCCATGTATCCTTTGGAAATTTATGAGGAGCTTCCTTATAACTGAAGTCTCCATGGTATTCACCCGAAAAAATTTCTCTACGGTTTTCAAAACCTCACAAAAAAAAGGTCTCCATGGAAGATTTTCTTCGTCTTCCTATACAATTCATGTGAACATTGTGAAATGCTAAGTTTTTTTGCTATCGGTATTTCGAGACTCGACCGAGCCCACTCGGAGGCCAGTTTTATTCGAGTTGGCTGTACCGATTTTTATATGGTACATGTATGCCATTATGTTACCTATGTGCCATGAATGCTGTTTTGGATAGCATATGCGCATGCTTTTCAAAGTGACTGGTTCGATTACAACGAGCCCAGTTTTTTAAGCGTACAAAAGCAGATGACCCAACCAGAATGACATCCAATGCCCAATGTTCAAGTTACACAGGTTAAAACTATTGGCCTTTTAGACTATTTTGTTACACTAAAAAACAAATTAAGTCGTGGGAATTGAACCCACAGGCTCTCGTAGCACAACATACAAAGGCAGATGATCCAACCAATACGATGCTAAAGTGAGGAAGGTTATAATATCTTTGTTTTTTTTTTTTCTAAAGTGAACATGACTTAGCCGAGTCGTTTTTCAAAACATTGGTTGCTATTGCATGTATGAGTTGAAATTTAAAAAGCAAACTGGTTTCTTCAATTATCTTATGCTTTCTTAAACTTCTCTCACTCTCTGCAATTTTCTTGAGATTTTTCTCCCAAAGATTTTCCAAGAAACGCCAAAACACTCTAGAGAACCTCGCCTATAAGTTCCTGATCCCCAACAACCGTCACAATGTTTGATTGATAACAGAGTCTAGTCAATACTGCTGGAGAAGCAGTAAAGCAGGCCTCAAAAGCAATCGAATGGGCAAAACCCATTGCCTCCACAGCTATTGATACGGTGTCTTCATCCGACCCGAGCGTGATTCTTGTGGCGGCTGGAGGTGCTTTCCTTGCTTACCTTCTCTTGCCGCCCACATGGTCTGCCATCTCCTATAGTCTTCGAGGTTACAAGGGTATGCCATGTTTCCTTCACATTTCTACACCTTTTCCAACAAGCTTGACCATGAAATTTTGGAGAAGAAACCAATTCTCTTTCGAAATGTTCTTTTGTTTCCATGGAACAGGGGAGCTAACTCCTGCTCAAACACTGGACTCAATCAGTAATGGGAATTATCTGTTGATTGATATTCGACCGGAGAAGGAAAAGAGCAAAGCTGGAGTGCCTCGCTTGCCTTCGAGTGCTAAGAACAAGTTGATATCGATACCGTGAGTGGTTCTCATCTTTTTTGTTCCATCTGGTTTGGACATCATAGTTTATGATTTGTTTATTGACTCCTTTACATTTTCCTTGTTTTTTTTTTTGTTAAGTCTGTTTATTGGTTTCTCTTCAGATCTGAAGATCTCCCCAGCAAGATAAGGGGTCTCGTCCGAAATGTGAAGAAGCTGGAGGCCGAGATAGTGGCTCTGAAGATCTCATATCTCAAGAGAGTGAACCAAGGATCCAACATCGTGATCATGGACTCGTGGGTTCTTTCCCCTGTTCCTGGTTATCTTCACCATTGCTCATTACTAGATTTTGCATTTCAGTGTTCTCATTGAGATCTAGGATTCAAAGTTTGGGCTTTGGTTGCTGAAATTTGGTGCTCGGACTAAAGTTTACCATTACAAAGTATGAGACATGTTTGATCAGAATTGCACAATTTCATTTTCCACAACCTAAAAGTATTTTCTTGAAATGAACTGAAGACAATTCTGACTAATATCAAGGGATTTTGAATTGGCATTAGCTGAAATTTGAAAGGGTTTTAAGATAGAAACGGGATGGTTTTGAATTGAAAGCCTGATCCCACTTTGCGAAACTGAACACTCTCCTGATTCTCTGCATAGGTACGCTGACGTGGGAAAGATAGTGGCAAGAGCCCTTACTGGCCTTGGATTCAAGAACTGTTGGGTCATGGTAGACGGATTCTCGGGGAGCAAAGGGTGGTTGCAAGGCCGCCTCGGAACTGAGTCATACAATGTAACATTTGCCGAGGTTCTCTCTGCTTCAAGAGTCATTCCAGCAGCAGTGAGACGGTTTGGAACAACCAGTGGTAGCTCACGAACACCTTCACAAAAGCGTCTACCAGGTGGTGTCGATGACTAAGAAAATATCCTTCACTGGTTAGTGAAAGAAAAGAATCCACCTTCTGAAAGAGTTGGTGTGGCTATCTTCAACATGTAATTTAAGCAGTAGGTTTAGTCTGCATCTCTTCGGCATTGTCTGCTCTGTCATGGTGTTTTTTTCATTCTTTTAAGTTGCATTTTCACTGTATTATGCTGTTCTGTTGTGTCTTTTTACAGTTTTGAGTTGGAATCAGCGTACACCATTAAGCATGTAAACTTCAGAACCTATTTTCGTGCTTTCCTTATTCACATCAGAAAATCCACGAGCACCGTGCAGAACTAGGAACAGACCACAAATACTCAGATCCCACTAAAGATCGTAGTCAGATAATTCTGAATTGGCCGATCGAACAAGAAATGAGTGTTTGAAATTCAACAAAAATGAAAGCAAACCCTAATAACATAAGGGGCCGTTTGAATCTATGGAAAAGATTACCTAGAAAATCCTTTGAAATGTATTTCTTGAAAAACATATTTCCTATAAAATAGATTTCTGCATTTTGGATTGTAGATGCTACATGGATGTATAACATTCTCATGGCTTTTTTTATGTACTTTTTTCCATCTAATGCTTTTGATTGTATTATTATTATAAGGAAAAAAATGTATATAAGGTTGCAACCTTATATTATATAAGTAAGATGCACTTCAAAAATCCAGTAGAACAGAGTGTTTTGAAGTTAGAAAGCCTCCCAATTGATTATCTCAATATCGAGATATATGAGTATAAAAAAGAAAAAAATTTGAAGTCCTAAAAATAGTGCTTTCGGTAACAAGTTATATTTTCAAGATTTTTAAGTATTTATAAATCTGTTTGATCTCCACCGTATTTAAAGTTTTAATTTCATTATTAGAGTTTGACATAAATTCTCTAACCATAGTAAAGTTTTTGACACCAGAACTATATCTTTTGACAAAATTTTGATGCCCACCTATAAGGTGGGTGGTGCATTCTACCATTGACGCCACACTACATCAAATTTGGACCCCGTTATTCATTGCTTGTGGTCTTGTTCTTTGGATAATCCTCCTGGCTGTGGTTATGTGGACCATTTGGAAAGAGAGGAATCTTCGAACCTTTGAGGGCAAGAGTAGAAACCAAAGTCAGATCCTCACAAGTTGCAGTTGGTAATTTAATTGGGGTCTGGCTTTTGGGCCTTTCCGCTCAATCCTGAAGGAGACCTTCTTCACCCACTTCAAGAACCTTCCTCTTTTCAGAAGAAGAAAACCTTCTCAATATGCTCAATTGTTGTGCGTGGTTCAAATTCGACTTTGATGGCAGCCTTAAGGTCCAAGAGGGTTTAGCGGGATTTGGTGCCTCCTTCGTGACGCCGATGGCTTGGTAGTTTGGCAATTTCAGGGGAGGTCGCATTTAAGTGACATCAATGAGATCGAATTAAGGGCCCTGAAAGAAGGGGTGCTCAAGCTGCCACCTCATATCACTCGACTCATCATTGAAGAGGATTCTCATCTCCTGGTGAAGATTCAGTGCATTTGGGTTCTAAATTTTGTTTTTTTTTTTTTTAATTTCACAACTTTATTGAACTAAAATGTAATTACATAGTCCGAAATAAAAACAAAAAGAAAAGAGAAACCTCCTTTTGACAAGAGTCTATCACTACATAAGCCTCCCTGTAAATATAAAAAAAAAAATAGAAAGAGAGAAGAGATCCAAAATCTGCAGCAATAAAGTCTTGAAGTCTCATAAAAACAATTGTTCTTTTTTACACCACAAAATTACATTAAAAGAATCACCCTCAATAATGAATTCAATCCTATACCTTAAACTTTATTGTTTTGGTTTTGCAGCAAGGAGGTTGTCTTTAATCATTTCTAGAGAGAACGAAATTCGTAGGCAGACCGCCTTGCCAACGAGGGAGCCCTGCTATGATGTGTTTTTCTCTTTTCTATTACTTTCTTTCGGTTTTGATGCAACTCTTCATTTACTTAAGTTAATGAAAAATATAACTACTTACTGTTCATAAAAAAATAAAATAAAATAAAAAAAAACAAGAAGAAGAAGAAAGAAGTGGTCACTTTATACAAACCTCACCTTTGTTATAATGTTTTATTATTATTATTAAATTTGAGATGGTTTGGCTCTCTAAAAATTTTGAGATAATTTATCTCTAAAATTTGATACAGTTTATCTCTAAAATTTTAATATTTTTTCTCTTTAAAACTTAAAATTTGAGATATTTTGTCTCTTAAAATTTTGATATAGCTTCTCTATCTAAGAATTTCATGTACTTTCTCTCTCTAAAATTTGATATAGTTTCTCTCCCTCTAAAATTTTGAGATAATTTCTCTCTCTAAAACTTAAAATATGAGAAATTTTCTTCCTAAAAATTTTGAGATAGCTTTTGTCTCTAAAATTTTTAAGGTAATTTCTTTCTCTAAAATTTAAAATTTTAGATAGTTTCTCTCTCTAAAAATTTAGAAATAGTTTCTCTCTCTAAAAATTCTCAATCACTCTCTCTCTAAAACTTAAAAATTGAGATAGTTTCTCTCTTTAAAATTTTGAGATAGTTCTCTATCTAAAATTTTTGAGATACTTTCTCTATAAAAAAATTACAAGTACTTGCTATCTCTAAAACTTAAAATTTGAGATAGTTTCTCTCTTAAAATTTGAAATAGTCTATCTCTTTAAAAGTTTTAAGATAGTTTCTCTCTCTAAATATTTTCGGGTACTCTTTCTCTGAATTTAAAATTTGAGATAGTTTATCTATCTAAAACTTAAAACTTGAGATAGTTTTTTGTTAAAAAAATTGAGATAGTTTCTCTCCTTGAAAATTTTATAAAACTTAAAATTTGAGATAGTTTCTCTTTTAAAAAAAAAGAAAAAGTTTATATAAAGTTGCAACCTTAAAATGTAGAACTACAAATGCACCTCAAAAATCCATTGGAAAATGTTGGTTTAATATCGCAAAACCCTCAAATTGATCATCTTGACATCGAGATGAATGACTATGAAAAAAAAAAGGATTTTGAGTCTAAAAAATGGTGCATCTTACAACACATTATCTAGACTATTCATTTTCAAGATTTTCATATATTTATAGATCTACTTGTTTTTAATCATTTTTGGAGTTTAAAACTTTATAATTAGATATGAAAATAGATTTTGAGATAATCTTAAGAATATTTTGCATCAAAATTACATGTTACGATAAAATTTGAATGTGCACCTTAAATAGATTGTTTAAGGTTGCTACCTCATGAAACCACACCCTAAAAAAAATTAGATAGTTTCTTTCTAAAACTAAATTGATAGTTTCTCTCACGAAATTTTTTTGATTGTTTCTCATTGTAATTTTTTTTTAGGTATTTTCTCTTTAAAATTTAAAATTTAAAATTTAAAATTTGAGACAATTTATCTCCCTAAGGCTTAAAATTTAGATAGTTTCTCTCTCTTGAAATTTTCAGGTGCTTTCTCTCTATAAAACTTAAATTTTGAGCTAGTTTATCTCTCTAAGAATTTATAAGTACTCTCTATAAAACTGAAAATTTGAGATAGTTTTACTAAAACTAAAATTTTGATAGTTTCTCTAAAAAAAAATTTAAGTACTTTCTCTCTCTAAAACTTAAAATTTAAAATAATTTCTATTTTTAAAAAATTTGAGATAATTTCTCTCTCTGAAAATTTTGTAGATACATCTCTCTCTTTAAAACTTAAAACTTAAAATACTTTATATCTATAAAAATGTTGAGAGTTCCTGTCTCTAAAAAATGTTAGGCAGTTTATCTCTCTAAAATTAGATAATAGATATAGTTTCTTTTTCTAAAATTTTAATATAATTTCTCTCTAAAACTTAAAATTTGAGGTAGTTTCTCTCTCTAATTCATGGGGGTGTTTTGGTGTATTTTATAAGTTGTTGTCTCTGTAATTGGGAAATCTGGCTGGAAATCAATTGAGGGTAATGGCAAGGGTACAATTTCTTTAGTTTATGCTTCAAATGAGGAAAATAATTTATGATAGAAATACTTTTTTGTCCCAAAATTTTGATCCAAATGCCATAAATATGCCATCTCCATAGAAAAACATGTCTAAAAATGTATTTCCAGATATCCAAACGGCTCCTAAGATTTACCAAGTTTACCCAAAATACGTATCCACTGCTTAGAAAATTGCAATCCACTAGCAATGAATATTACAATTTTTTCATATAATAAATTTCTATTTAAATATCAACAAAAACCGTATTGATTTTGTCTTCTAAATCCACTAACCTAACTAAAAATCTTTTTTGTTTTTTTTGGTGGAAATCTATCAAAATACTCATTAGGGATAAATTATTCAACATTCTGCCTATTTGCAACTATTCTAACTGCACTTTGTGGGTATTTTGAAATCAAATCAAAAGGTATTGGTAAGATGTTAAACTGTTCATTTCTCATGAGTAATTTGATGAAACTTGCGGTTTGCATAGAGCCTATGGTTTTAAACAATCAAATTAAAACCTACCTTCAAATAGTATCGTAAAATGTAGTTTCAATATTGAAAATCTTTGTGATTGCCTTAAAATATATTTTCATATCTATTTATAAAGTTTAAAGCTTCAAAAATAGTGTATCATCAATATATCTACAAAAACTTGAAAATCTTGAAAATTAACGATCCAAAAATGAGTTACAAAATACACTATTTCCAAAACTTGCAATCCATTTTTTTCTCATCTTCATGCTTCTTGATGTCGAGATGATCAATTTGAAGATATCCGGGCATCAAAACAATCCTCTTCTAGTGAGATTTTTGAAACAGGCTCAAATTCGATTGTTTAGAGCGTCGGCTCTATATAAACTTTTCCCTTTGATAAATTTCCCTTTTTTTATAAAGATAAATAATATATACCCTTATAAAGCATCTTAGCCAATGTCTAGGTTCCCAGTTGTACCGAGTTCCCCTCCCCCACTAGCTCAAATGCCTTGAAGATGTCACATTATAGACACATGGATGGTGGCATCTATATTTACCCACCAACAAGCTTCTTTTTTCAACCATGTTTACCTCCGACAACCAATACAATCAATTTTTCTTCTTTAGCGGCTCTGATTGCTCGGTGATTGGGCTTTTGTTTCCAGTACAGATATTCTTTTAGAGTAATACCTAACTCTGCCATAGGCACAACTTACTATCTTTTGTTTGGTCTTGGACTTCTTGCCTTGGTTTTGTCCTTTTCTTTTCTACTTCAGGAAAGAAATGCATCTTGTTTTTTTTGTTTTTAGACTAGCTCTTAACAAGGTTTACTAGAATGAAATTCTATAAACAATTTAGATTCCATGAATATTCATCTTTCTTTTCCCCTTCTTCTATTCCGCATCCATTAAGTTCACTAACAATAAGTTGTAACTTGTATACCCAATCAAATATTGGTTTATTTTCAGTAAATTTAAAATCCAAGTATTTTAAAATTAGAAACCTTTTGTTACTTGATTCTTCCATTTGATATTTAGCCTTCAATACGTTCCAATTCTCCTTCGCAAATGCACCGAGGCATATATTGTATATTGTTTAGGCAAGGACATTGAGGATATGACCGAGTCATCCCCATCCACTTATGGTAAATTTTTGTTGGCTCTTCATGCTATCCCTCACTAGGTAGAGGATTTCTGACATTTAGTCAGTAATAAGATAAGATACCTTGGTGTTTTCAAATAAAACAGCAGTTTTTAGTCGCCTTTTGAAGTAGATCCTCACCCATATCCAGCAATCCTCAACCACATCCAGCCCTGCGATGCCCTAGTTCATAAGCTTGATAGATACATCGTGGATTCTATCATTTTACCCAGAATATTGTATTCACATTTGTTCTTGAATTATATGAAACATAAGATCGAAAACTTATCTTACCTGCACAATAGCCTGAGTATAACAAGATCTAGAACATTAGAGTAGCTTTTCTTTAGAGAGAAAGTGGAGAAAAGTATTATCTAGCTGAACTCTACCTCGAAAGAGAGATTCAAGAGCACTATATGGAGAGAACATGAGTACTTCCAATATATTTGTAACTGAAGATGACATGGCCAGTCATTGCAACTGATTGTAGATGGATTGTGGCTCTATTCTCTATTCCATACCTTCAAAGTCACCTCTTCAGTTCTAAAGCCAAATTGGTCGCACAAAGTCCTTCACATCACAACGTGCAATGTCGTCGACATCTGACGCACATGCAACAAGCTACGACACGTGACATGTCTTGTATGACATACACAATGCTGTCCAACTCATGCTGCGATGGCCAATATGCAACAACTTACGCATCGCCGATACCAATCTTGCAACGTTGCAATGCTACACCAGTCGAGCGACATTCTTGACACCCAAATACTTGTCCATTTCTCCAAAAAGAAATTGACCGCGTGCACAACCCGCATCCATACATGAACTAATGACACCTCTGAAAAGTACAAAGTGTGCGTCAAGAACCTTTGCACGTTGTACACGTCGTGCACTTCGCATAGATCTCTCTTCTTTGTTCCATAAACATAAAGAAAGCAAACTTGGACAAAGAATTATTACCACTTCAAAACAGCACGTCATAAAACCATAGCAAATGAAGATACTATTCTGACATAACACAATGCTTTTCATTGGAAAAAATACGAGACAAAAACTACAAAATCCAGGGTATGATACAAAACCCCATAAAGGGAACCGCTTTGCTAAAAACAAAGATTGATAGAGGCATCAGGTTTTTTGCTTGCTCAATTTTGCAAGTGAAGAAGAAAAACAATGGGGGCTAGAAAAAAAATGCACCCACTGCTCAGTCAAATTTTCTAGACTAAGAGACCAGGGCAATAGTCTCTCTTTAGAAATAAGTGCGTACCCGGAGGCAAGTTGCTTTTATAACGCCATCCAGGAGCATTATCTACTCCCCAACCATAGTTGAAGCTACTTTCTTCTTCTTTCTGGACTTAACTTTCACAGCATCTTTAAGACTCTTTTTCTGGTTTACCTGTTGCACTGAAGCAGACATTTCCTTGGTATGAGAATCATCAACAGTCGCCTCCACAGAAGGTTTCTCTAACTTGGATTCATTAGGCCTTTCCAAGGCAACTGTATCTTTCTTCTCTGCTTCCATTGCACGCGGTGCTGAAATTTTCACAGGTATCACAATTACACAGCAAAAAATTGCAAAAAGTACGATAAGTGACCAGTGATTACATGGATTACTAAATCCACTTAAATAATGAAAGGAGAATATGGATGTCATTGAATCCATCATGGAATTACAAGCACAGCAGATAGCATCACAACTGAATGGAACTTGTACATTACATCACTAACCACAACAGACTGGAGCAATTTCAGTGTTTTAAAATGCGGGATGCGGCCCTGATGCAGGTGCATAGCGATAATGCGATCAATAAATGTAAAAAAAATTCTAAAAAAATCTGAAAAAATAAGTTAATGCATAGAAAAAATATGAAGGTGATATATGTGATAGTAGATTATTTTAGTTTAATGCTTAACTTCAAAACTATTACCTGTCGGAGTATTCTGTATCCAGTTATGCACTATCCCCTGACTAGAAACTAGAAACTTGAA